GTCTGCGACAAAAACTGAAAGACACTTCTAAAATTAGTAATCGAGATAGCAAAGGACTTAGAAATTATGCTGATCTTTTAAGACAATGTGAATCAGCTATGAGTTCAATGAATTCATTAAACATTCTAAATGATAGTTTAGAAATAGAGGAACTTTTGGAAAAACTACCAGATTGGCTTTTTAATCGTTGGTCCAGAATTTCTTATGATTCTCAGAAACAAAGAAACTGTTATCCTTCTTTTTCTGAATTTGTCAGATTTGTTACTAAAGAAGCTGATATTTTGTGTGATCCTGTTGCTATGATTAGGAACTCTAAACGTGATTCGAAATCCCACAGTGAACCTTCTTACAAACACAAAAACTACAGTGGTAGATATTCAACAAGGGAAACAACTCTGTTTCGTTCCAAACAGAAACCTCAGCTGATAAATATGTTGTGTCGTGTACTTATTGTAATAAATCTCATCATATTAGTGACTGTAACGAAATGAAGCAAAAGTCTTTAGAAGATCGTAAATCATATTTCTTTAAGAACAATTTATGTTTTGGTTGTTTGAATGTAGGACATAGATCACAAAACTGTCAAAAACGTCTAAATTGTAAAGAGTGTTCTAAGCCACATCCATCATTACTTCATGGTGACTTTAAGAAGAGATCAGAAACTGTTCCTAAATCCGTTACTTCACATACCAGTTATAGTGAAACGCAAACTGTAAAATCTAAAAGTTCGATAATTGTACCTGTTTATTTATCTCATGATGAAGATCCTCAGAATGAACTATTAGTTTATGCTCTTGAAGACACTCAGTCAGATTCAACCTTTATTTTATCTAAGTCAGCAGATGAACTTAATTTAAAGGGTGTAAATGTTAATTTATCTTTGTCAACTATGACTGCATCGAATCTAAATATTGAAAGTTCGAGATATACTGGTCTGTCAGTGCGTGGAATAAACAGCAAAGTTAGAATGCCTCTACCGCCTGTCTATTCTAGAGACATTATGCCTGCAAATAGATCACATATTCCAGTACCATCTATGGTTGATAAATGGCCACATCTTCAGAACATTAGAGATAAACTACATCCACTCCTAGATTGTGATGTTGCACTTTTAATCGGTTATGATTGTCCGAAATTGTTAGCTCCTATTAATGTTATTCCTCCTGTGAATAATAGCCCTTTTGCTCAAGAAACTGTATTAGGTTGGGGTGTCATAGGAATTGTAGATTGCGAGAATGTTTCTACTGATCCTATTGGTGTAAGCCATCGAATTATGACTTCTTCCGTACAAGTAGAAAATAACTTTTATGTTTCATGCCCTACTAAAGTTAAAGAGATAATAGACCCAAAACATGTTTGCAGGGATCCTCA